TGTTTGTGTGCGTCGGTGGGAGAGGGAGAGCATCCTGCAGGGACAGAGGTGGGGACCAAGCTCATGCCCAGGAGCGGGTCTGAGACTGGACCTGCACTGGGCACTGTGAGGTCAGTGGGACCCAAACCTCAAAACAAGGAGGTCTTGTGAGAGAAATCCCCTAAAACTCACCAAATATAAGGGGAAGGAGCACTGTGACTGTTCCGTCGTTAGTAGGTTGTCTGTTAATTAGGGTGATATGGGGAGACTTGGGAGTGAGCCAGAGGGTCTAATGCCTCCACCAGGAATGCGTCTGCCAAGGTTGATTTGAGGTGCTCAGTAGGCAAAAGAGTCTCACAAAGGGTGTAACACCACTAAATAATGAGCCAAAATGGCTCATCAGTAATGAGTCAGCCCAAAGCTGGGTGCTAGAGAAGAGCCCCTCCAGAGCTGCATGAAGGACATGGGCCCAGAAGCAGTGTGAGGGCTGGAGGTGGTCAGAAATGCACCAGAATGGGACCATGTTCCATGCAGGAAAGAAAGGTGTGGGTGAAACAGCCGTGGCCAGGAGGAACAGCCTCTCCTGGGTCGAGAGGATCAGCAGCAGTGCCCAGGCACATTGTCCCTCACCATTGAACTCCCTTTCTGAGTCCACGTTGGAGGTTACCCGATGCTTGGCCACAGTCGTCTGTCCCAGGCACATTTTTGTGGTGGCCTTTGGTCACCAACACACCACTTCTGTCTGCTCACGGTGAGCAGAACTGGCCAGGACACCAGTCTGCCCACTGCTGCCCAAGCAATATGATGGGGTCACCACCATCAGCAGAGCCATCCTGCGTTGCCTGTGCTCTACAGTGGAGCTGTCTCATACTTAAAGATGAAAAAATCATCATAGATTGATAAAATGATTTGCCAGAGCCCACGCAGAAAGCTACTGTCAAACTGAGGACTCATCTTCAGGTCCCACATCCTCCTGTGCCCCCATCTCCTTGACTTCTCCTCCGTTTCTGCTGCTCCTTGGACTCCCACTAGGTATTTTTTTCCACCGTTGCCAATGTGGAGAAAAACATTTCAAAGTCCATTCCTCTGTCACACTCCCTCCAAAGAGCCCTGATCCCATTTAAAGTTTTCCACAGCTGAACTTTCCCTTTCCTGAACCTCCTTAATCACTTCTTCATCCAGTTCCATCTTGAATAAATTAACCGCGAGTGAATTTGCCTTGCAGGAGATTAAGTGTCCCATTGATTGAAAAATCCTGTGAAAAGCATAGCTGCTTCTCCATTCCTCCCTAATCCCCACATTCCCGCATCACCAGCTAGACATACCTTCCTTTCCTGATTTCTTTCCATTTAATCAAAATATTTTAAGGCTCAAAATGAGCTTTGCAACCTCTCTGCAACGTGCCCAGGGAGCCTGCTGTGCCAGGGAAGGGGTTATTCCCTTAAAAAGTCAGGAATTTGCTGGTGAAAAGATGCTGGTTGGTAAAGTGCAGGTTAAAAAGCCAACAGCACTTCAGGGGCAAGAGGGAGAATTTAAAAGTTATGCAGTAGAGAGTAATAAATGAAGATAAATTGGGACTAAATAAATGAAGCAGACCCAGGACTGTTGGAGGTGGGTTGATGGTGGTGGTACGCTCCTCTGGGAGGGGATGCTGGGGACAGGCACGTCCCTTTGGATCAGTGCAGGAGCCTGCAGGTACATCCAAATGGCCACCAAATTTAAGTATTGAACTCTGTGAGAAGTTTCCCAGGGAAACACCAGCCCCTCCATCGCCTGGTGCCTTCAAATCGAGGACGGATGTTGTTCTGGGAGATGCGTGCTCCAGCCAAACATCATTTATTGGGTTTAGCAGCGAGATAACTGGCAGGAATTAATTTCTGTGACACAGGGAATTTCACCCGATAATGTTTTGACTATGGGAAGAAAAACAAAAAAAAACCAAACAAAAAACTCCAATAATTCAATCACTGCCAAGAAGCTGTGACTGTAATTGCTTCAGACACTGCAGCACGGCAGCGTTTGGGGTTTATGTTGCCCTGCCGTGCTGGAAGCACTGTGCAGGCTGCTTGTGCATGTGTAATGAAAGAAAAAAAAAAAGGAAATTGAGCTTGACACATCATTTTGGGGTTTGCTGTGAGCCTGCAGTGACGGAGAGAGCCATCCCGTCCCCAGCCCGGGCAGGACATGGGGGAGCAGGACCCAGCACGGGTGCGGATGCCGGTTTGCTGGCAAGGCAGAAATTCAGTTTCCACTTCCCTCGGTGCTCAGGCAGAGCAGAGGCTCCTCGGGTATTTCCACCAACAGCCTAGTTTTCCTTTTTTATTTTCTCTTTTTTTGGGGAGGTTGTTGTTTTTTCCCAGGATGAAAGTTAAAAATACGTCCTCAGACATGTTGCTCTGAGCAGTCTGCGCTCTTCACATTTAATCCCTCTGCTTTGCTTTTGTTTTCCCCAGAAGGAGCACATGAAAAGGAAGGCGAGGGCGGGATTGTTTGGTTCTTATTTTCTTTTAAAGCTTCATTTATTAGCCAAGCCATGACGCAAGGGCCTGCCGCTACGCTCTTTGCAGAGGGCTTTGGTTGTGGCCAGAGTTGGGGGGGATTGCAACCCTCTGGGGAGGTGAGGGCAGAGATTTGGGGTGACCCAAAGGTGTGTGGGGAGGGGGAAAGCTGGGATGGAGCAGGGGGTGGCTCCCTAGATGATGCTCCAATTGGATTTGGGGGTGATTTGGGATAGGACTTCTCTTTTTTTTATTTTTTTCCCCCAGGGAAAACCGATCCAAACCATTTAGAGCTCAGGTTTATAGACCACAAAGTAAAGGAAGGGGTTTGGAAGCAACCTGTGAGCAGCATCTCTGGGAGATGACATCAGGGAACACTTCACACATCCCTGCGACCGGCACCTTTCAAACAGCTGGAAAAGCCTTTCCCCCAGCTGCCAAGTTTCCATGAGAATTTGACAGCTCCAGCTAATTAATCATTGAAATTTAACCGAAAAGGGAAAACAATGCCATTGTCTTGGGGAAACAAAAATTCTGTTTTCTTGAGCTTCACAACCCCTCTGCACTCGTGGCAGCGGCTGTAAATATTTGGGCTTTTTTTTGAGCTTCCAGCCCTGACGTAGGGCAGGGGAATTGGGGGAATGGGTGGTTCCCCCTCGTCATCCTCTTGCCTTTGAAAGAGATTCCCCTGGTGTCGGGAATATTTATTAATGGCTGGTGTGATGGTATTAATACATGAATATTAATTAATGGGAAAGTCTCCACTAGGATTTTCCTGCTGTGGGGGGTAATCAAGGCGGAAGGGGGGGGGGGATCAAAGTGGAGCCACACCAAGAATTTCATGTTAAATTCTGTCTGAGTTAAATTCTTCAATTGGAATGAAGAATTTGACAATGAGAACGTCATCTCCTGAGGTGTCACAACCTTTGAGGTCTTTTCACCTTTGAGGTCTTTTCTCTCCCCCTCCCACACCTTTTCACATCTTCCACCATCCTCCCCCATCTCCAACCACGAGCAAATGGACATCAACAGTGTGGCAGGCACAGAGGGACACCAGCAAACTCCTTCTACAGGTCAGGGAGAAGGTACCAGATCTCCCTGAGCTTCTGGATGCTATTGAGGACCATTCCAGATGGTTATTATTTTCCCCTAATTAATCTCCATGTTTGCAGTGAAGCTGTAAGACAGGAAGTATTTCCATGAGAATCCTTAAGCACTGCTTAGATTTTTGGAGGTTTTAATTTGGCGAGCAATTCCGTTTTATAGCGATGGAATAAAAGAACGAGTGTTTAGTGTCTTTGCAGAAGCAGCATGGTTGATGATTTTTTTTTATTTTTTTTTTAAAAAGAAACTATTTCTGGTGTAACAGGGAACATCTGTGCTGGGGACAGTCATTTTGCCAGGTCAGGGCAGTGCAGAACTAAGGAGCTCCTGTTTATCTGCCGATCCGGACTTGGACGGTTGCATCCACTGATAGGACTTGGGTGCAGATTTATTTTGGGCTAACACATTGGGAGCAGAAGATGCCAATAGCCTGTGGTTCGGAATATTTTTGAACTAGCCTGGAAGGAATGGTCAAATTCCTCAGGTCCTGCTCCCTTCCTCCTTTGGTTTGCTGTTTTGTATTATTCTGGTCAAATCCACAAGAAAAAGTGAGAAAAATGCTTGCAATGTCCCAGATACATCCCAACTAGTGGCCTGCACCCTTGGTGGGTGTATGGGGGTTTTTATCAGCTCCTCTTATTTGAAAGAATAGATAGATGCCCAACGTTCCCTCACACTGCTGAGCTGGGGTATGGCTCTGGGCTGCTTACAGGAGAAAACCCAGGTTGGAGCAAAACTCCTGGAAATTCACTTTTTCAGCCTCTTAGTGGGGAAAAGTCATCGTGGATCCCAGTGTGATTTGCAGTTACTGCTGTGCCAGCTCCTTGGTATTCCTTGGGGAATTGCCAGGTATGACTCCTTCATACACATCCATGTCCTGAAGACACTCTTGGCATGAAATGTTCCTACCTCAAGGTTCTTACCTTCAGGGGGGGACACCTCCGTCCCTCCTTCCCAGGGGCAGCTGTGGGGACCTCAGATGGATGCTGAAGGTTTCTGTGCCACCCTGGTGCTGGTGCCAGCCGTGAGCCAAGGTGGTGATGGGGGTCCCCCACTCCTCCCCACGCTGCCAGATACTTCTGGAGACTTCACTCGCTGCCAGGCGTTTGTTTGCCCCCGTTCCATCTGATGGCCATTACCTCCAAGCAGCAGTGAGTCATCATCCCTGGCTTATTGCTGCCTGCTGTCGTGGGAAGGGGAAGTCAAAATAGTCAAAATAGTGGTTTTCCTGCTTGCACTGAGTCAGGTTGGGGGAATGAGGGTGTCCTCCCAGCAAGGGACCTTCTCCTGCCACCTCCTGACCCACGTACCGGGAGCTTGGGCTGGGAATCATTTTATTCCCCACTAGCAATGGCCATGGGTTTGCTTCCACACCTCCCATCCAGCCTCTGGGCACTGATGGACCCCTCTTTCCTGCAGGCTGGTGGTGGGAGCTCCCTACGAAACCAACGGCCAGCAGAAGACAGGAGATGTCTACAAGTGCCCGGTGACCAGCGACACCCACAGCAACTGCACCAAGCTCAACCTAGGTACTGCACACCCGGGGGGCAGCCAGGGGAACCAGCCCTTTATTAACACGGTGCTTTTAATCACTGATTCAGTCTGTGAAGATGCACCCTGTCGTGTTGTCCACACTGTCCCCAGAAGCACGAGGACTGCATGTTTTGGGAGAATTTTTAGATGGGGAATTATTTCAGGTGTTCACGTTACTCCCAGTGCTGAGCTTTAAGCAACGTTTGGGTAAATGAAGTGAATTGGAAGAAAGTAAAAAAGTTATTTTTTTAACATAGCTTAAGTGGGTTTGTTAAATGATCTGGGTAAATGCGTCAGTGGATAATGGTCCCGCTAGGAAATACCTGATTCCAGTCTGGCAGACTTCTCAATCCCACCTCCCTGGATGGAGAGAGCAAGCTCTTTCTCAAGGTTTCTCATGCTGGTCCAGCCCCAGCCGTGCCAACAGCACAATATCACGATATTGGGACGTGCCCTGCCTGGGTTGGGGCAGTGCAAGGTGCAGGGGGACAAGTCCCCTTTGCCGCCCAAGGTGGGACACCCGATGGGTACATCCCCATCTCAGCAGGGAATGTGAGAAACAGGGACTTTCTCATGGTCCTGAGGAGCATCGCTGGGATTTAGGGGCAAGGTCTAGAATTTTTCAACACTGGAGCATCTGGAGCAGCCATTCTCACTTTATTTTTCATCATTATGAATCTGAACTGTCCTGGGTTTCTACAAGAGCTGATAAGAGAGGAGGAACTTTGGATCGGCCACAGTATTTGATTGATTGGCTCCAGATATTTTCTTTTTTTTTTTTTAACATTGTTTTCTTTTTTCCTTTTTTTTTTTTTTGGTATTTGCTGTGAGAACATAGAGATTCTTCAAGAAAACAAATGTCCTGTGTGCGTAAATTTGAATCTTGCTAAAAAGCAATCCTTTTCTTTTTCCCGTTGGAAACAAGTTTCAGATGAAGAGATCAGTGCCACGAGCACATCCTATTTTATTTTATTTTTTTTTTCCTCCCCTAATTAACTTGTCTAGTTAGCACAATCCTCTGAGGCCCTTTGAGTAAAACCAGATGCGGAGCTGCCCTGGGGGGATGCCAAGCTGACAGCCAGCCTGCGGCAGAGATGACCATGGCGTGGAGAAGGATGAGTTGCTGTGGGACCCAGGGCTCTGCCCCTGCCCTCCCCACGCCGTGGATGCAGGAGCTGGTGGGGAGCATCCTGCTCCCCATCCCAGAGCCAGGGGTGCAAGGTGCAGCCTGCCTGGGTACCAGCGGGGTGTCAGCATCCGCAGCCGGCATCCTGGAGAATTTATAAAGTGGGATAAAACCCCTTTTTCTCAACCTTTGCGTGGAGACAGGGGGTCGGGGCGAGCTCAGGGTGCATGGGTGAGAGAGGGGGCTGCAGGGGGAGAAGCAAGGGGCTGCTGGATGCTCAGCATCAGGCTGGGCTCCCTCGAGCTCCTGCTTGTGGATCTGGGTTTGAACTCAGGGGCTCAGCTTCCCCTCAGTTCAAACCTTACCAGAAAGCTTCCCAAGGCCACAGGCAGAGAAACCAACACCCCAATTTTACCATGTATTGCCCGATGTCCCCCTTCTCTGCTTGCTTCTCAGGCAGGACAGCAAAAGGGGAGCCCTGGGTCGCAGGGAGCTGCATTGCCCAGACCCCTGAAGTGGGGAGAGGGTGGCTGGGGGTTGGCATGGCTGGACCCCCCCGGGGCAGAGGCAGGTTTGATGCCTTCATGGAGCTGAGGTGGAGGAAGGAGGGGGTCAGGCAGCGTTTGTGTCACAGCTAAAGAATATCAGCATTATTAGCATTAAGAAAAAGACAGGGCTGCCCTGGGGACCGTTCCTGGGCTGACACGGGAAAGGAAAGATAAATCAGCCACTAAATGCCTGCTGGCCTGGCAATAAAAGATGAGATGCTGGAGCTGCTCAGAGGGGTTTCTTCCTAAATATCGACTGTGTAAGAGATGCTGTCTCTGACTCACAGCTCCAGTCCCCAGCAGACGTTCCCCTTTGTTGGTTGAAAGAAAGAAACCAATTGTCGGTTGGTAAGAAAAAAACAAACAAACAAAACAATTCTCATCTCGACAACTCTGTCCAAAAAAAACCCAAAAGCACAAATTCTGCAGCGTGAGCATGCCCAGATGGCTCTCCTCTGGTGTTCAGCTGGGTTCCCTCTTGCTCCAGAGATGCTGAGGGGCAAGGTGGGGGTGTGGAGGGGTTGGGGGGTGGCTGGCATCCCTGCCCAGCGGCTGTCCCTGACCACATCCTCTCTCCAAAGGACGGGTGACGCTCTCCAACGTCTCTGAGAGGAAGGACAACATGCGCCTCGGCCTCAGCCTGGCCACCAACCCCAAGGACAACAGCTTTCTGGTGAGATACAGTGGGGTTTTGGCACAAATTAGCTCACAAATACCCCTCTCTGTGTATTTATATATATGCTGTGTGCACCGCGGGGCTCAGAAACCTCACCTTCCACGGGGAAAAAAATGCCAAAGGAGAGGAGAGCCCATGCAAAGCAGCAATTGAAAAGTGGCAATTTTAATCTCATCCCTGATGGTTGATTTTTCTTCCTCCCCCCCCCAACAGGCCTGCAGCCCTCTCTGGTCCCACGAGTGCGGGAGCTCCTACTACACCACGGGCATGTGCTCCCGGGTCAACTCCAACTTCAGGTTCTCCAAGACGGTGGCTCCGGCTCTGCAGAGTAGGGGAAACAATCTGCCCTGCAGCTCTAACCCCGCCTTTGAAGTCAGAGGGAATCTCTGTTCTCTAATCGCTTCAGTCCCATTGAGAAAACAAAGCGATGTCAGTGTTTGAGCGAAGGCAAGAGAGCAGAGGAAATGGTTGCAGGGAAGTGATTCAAAGGGGGTTACATACACAGACATCTGGCAAGCATTTTTCCCTTTGACTGACATCCAGGGAGGACAAAAAATACCTTATTCTTCCAAAAACCAGAAATAAAAGTATCCAGAATATTTTATCAGCACAGCTAGGAAGGCAAAATAGGGAAAGAATTCAGACCTTGGCCACAGAAAAGAAAGAGCTCATTGATGGAAAGCTAAATATTTTGGCCCGAATTTGTAAATTTGGCTACGTGCTTTTATTTTGAGGTATTAAATAAGCTTCCTGGCTTCCCTGTAGGTGGTAAGAAATTGCAGAATCCTCTCCTGCCCCATCAGAGCTTCCAGAAGCTCCTTGGTCCAGCTGGGCACAGGGGACACTGCCCCAGTTCCATCACCCCTTTGCTGTCGATTAATTCTCACAATGTGGATCAGGGCATGTGAAAAGGGGACTTTTGGGGGTCAGGGGCAGTAAAGGCAGAGCCCACCAGAGAATTCTCAGTGTGTTTTCCCTCTTTATGGCCGGGAGGTGCTTTTAGCCCTCACTGCAAAGGGTAATTGGTTGGTTTTTTTGGAGAGAAGCTGATTAACGAGCAGGTTGTTATCACTCAGCAAGTGGGATGCAGGATGGATGCTCCTGTCCCTGGGTTCCGGGGTGAGTGGGAGATCGAGGTGGTGGCACACAGATGAGGACCACAATGATGGAGAGACTCATGTGAGACGCCAGTCTATAGATAACAAACCCATAAAAGACTGTAGAAAGTGGAAAGAGCAACCGATAGATATTCCTCAGCAGAAAATTCAACGTCTTCTGGTTTTCTGCAACTTTTCTAAATGATGTTATAAAATATAAGCAAGCTAGAGGGGTGATGCTGAGCAATTCTCAGTGCTGAGAACCAGTCGACTGCCTGAATCCTTCACGGCTCCTGCTGTGGAGCCGAGTCCTGGGGTCCCAGCTGGGGCTCCTGGCTGCCTCGTCACCAGAGGATTTAACGGGAAAGGGGAGGAAATGCGTTATTTGGTGAGTACAGGCAGGGCTGAGGAGTGACTCAGGGGGAAAGCATGGCTCTGCAGGAGCACCGGAGGCTGGATCCTGCCTGCAGCCGGCCACTCTTTGAAGTATGCAGCTATATTAGACCAGATAAAGGTCCAAATCTGAATCAGAAAAGACCTCGCTGAGTGTTATTCTTAGAAAGTTACCCAGTCTTTTCTCGGCAGAGAGGATGCTTGTGGCTTCTCTCCACCTTGCTGAAGACCAAAGGTCTTTATGAATGATTGAAATGAGATTATTTTTTTTTTTTCAAAGAAATCATAAGAGCAAGTACCTGACAGTGAGGATCGAAGCCATAAATCTCCCCTTTACAAGCGTTGCCAAGAGCTTTCAATAACACACTGCGTATTTTTCACAGGATGCCAGACGTACATGGACATAATCATAGTTCTGGACGGATCAAACAGCATATATCCTTGGGTTGAAGTGCAGCACTTCCTGATCAACATCTTGAAAAAATTTTATATTGGCCCCGGCCAGATACAAGTAAGACCCTGCACAACTCCTGCGTCCCCCCATGTCGGGCAGAGTCCCCTGGCCACGCTCACAGGGCTGTTTTCACCCTCCCTTTTCTGCCAATATGCTGTAATTTGGCACCTTGCTTGTTCATAACAAACTTTCGGTGTATGGATTTTAAAGCTGAGCCCATGGAAATAATGCTCACGTTAATGTCCCTAAATGAGGGATGGAGAGAGCAGCACCCAACACCCTGAGCAGGCACGGGGAAGATGAAATCATATGGAAATATAGAAATATTGCCCTGTTCCAAAGCGGCTTGTTGCAGCTGTGAAGAGCTCTCCATCCTCTCCCTATTAGTAACCACGGGGTGATTTGGGCAGGGATATCCTCAATAATTTGCACAAATAACCCCTGCTGGGTCCCGTCTTGAGATGCTGTGGGCTCAACACGTCTGTGACACCCCAAAACTTTTGTAGCATGGCAGGGGTGAGAGCTGGCAGAAAATAGAATAAAAACTGAGCATTATCAGTGGTCCCATAGAGAGAAAACTGGGACAAATCGGGACAGAGTGATTGATTTCTGGTGTCCTTTGTGATATTCCTTTGATCCCTAGGTCGGAGTTGTTCAGTACGGAGAGGACGTCGTCCACGAGTTCCATTTAAATGACTACAGGTCTGTAAAAGATGTGGTAGCAGCTGCCAGTCACATAGAGCAAAGAGGAGGTACAGAAACCAGGACGGCTTACGGGATCGAGTTTGCTCGGTAAAAATCCCTCACCTTCCTCTTCCTCCTGATAACAAGTTTAAAACCACTGGGTGGTTTTTTTTTTTTTCCCTTCCCTCTCCCCCACCTCCACTTCTCCTCACTGCTCAGAAAGCAGGGGATACCGCCAGGCTAAAAATGATTTTGGCAAAACCACTTGGTCTTTAATTGATGATTTACAAACGATGCTTCGTAAAAGCCCCTCGGTCCTTGGCAGCAGCTGGACCAGAAGGAGGGTGCAGAGATGGGCTCTGAAAATGCTGTCTTCTTGCTGAAAGTAGCCAAAGCTGAGCTCTCAGCCCCAAAACGCTACCCTAAATGCCACCTACCCCAGGCTCCCACAGCTCAGCCCCCGCTGGGTCCCGGGGAGCTCAGCAGAGCCCCCACTCACACCTCCAGCTCCTCCGTTATCCGGGATGAGCCCCTGCTCCTGTCCATTTTTACAACAGCCCAACCTGCTGCAGATTTAGGGCATTTTGCTGAATTCAGGGCTCCTCTCCTGCAGAGCCCCCACTCACACCTCCAGCTCCTCCGTTATCCGGGATGAGCCCCTGCTCCTGTCCATTTTTACAGCAGCCAACCTGCTGCAGATTTAGGGCGTTTTGCTGAATTCAGGGCTCCTCTCCTACAAGGCTCCATGGGTGGAAAAATCCCCTTTTAAAGCCCTAAAATGTTTCCTGAGTGTCCTGCACCCCCTTGTACCCCGCTAAGGGCTGGTAGCCCACCCGGTGCCACTCCGGGGATTCATGGTGTGGGTGGTGGGACTCGTGGTGGTGGGAAATGGGGTGGTTTTGGTGATGGGAGCTGGGACCAGACCCCCCTGGCGAGGCTGAGCAGCCCAGGGCATCTCTTCAATTGCAGCTCGGAAGCGTTTCAGAAAGGTGGCCGGAAAGGGGCAAAGAGAGTAATGATTGTAATCACAGATGGAGAGTCGCACGACAGCCCAGACCTGGAGAAGGTGATCGAGGACAGCGAGAAGGACAATGTCACCAGATACGCGGTGGCGGTACGTGGTTGGGGGGCGGGGGGGGAGCATTTTGACAGCCAAACAGCTGCAAAAGCCCTGCAGAGCTCAGATCCCAGCCTGTTCACCAGGGTCCTCGCTGCTGGTTCTGCTTTTGCAGGAGGTGGTGGGATGCTCGGCTGAAGCAGGGGATGTGGCCGGGGACAGGCAGGACCCTGCATTGCTCCAGGCACCCAAATTCCATGAGGGGAGACCAACCTGGGCTGCCTGGAGGAATTATGGCAAATCCTGGTTTGGTCCCACAGTGGGGTGTCAGAGGCCAAGGCTGTGAGGCTATTTCCACATGACAGGCTGAGAGAGTTGGGGGGTTCAGCCTGGAGAAGAGAAGGCTCCAGGGAGACCTCAGAGCCCCTTCCAGTCCCTCAAGGGGCTCCAGGAGAGATGGGGAGGGACTCTGGATCAGGGAGGGGAGCCCTAGGAGGAGGGGGAAGGGTCTGACCCTGAAAGAGGGGAGATGGAGCTGAGCTGTGGGGAAGAACTTGTTTGGTGTGAGGGTGGTGAGAGCCTGGCCCAGGTTGGCCAGAGAAGCTGTGGCTGCCCCATCCCTGGAGGGGTTCAAGGGCAGGTTGGAGGGGGCTTGGAGCAACCTGGTGTGGTGAGAGGTGTCCCTGCCCAGGGCAGGGGGTGGCACTGGGGGGGCTTCAAGGTCCTTTCCAACCCAAACCATTCTGCGATTCTCTGATTCCATGATGCCCCTCAGGTGCTTTGGGATGGCTCTACCCAGCGCATGAAACCCCCCTGAGTCTTGCTTTCTTATTTCAAACCTAGGTCTTGGGTTATTATAACAGAAGAGGAATCAATCCCGAAGCCTTTTTGAACGAGATAAAATTTATAGCGAGTGACCCAGATGACAAGCATTTCTTTAACGTCACCGATGAAGCAGCTCTCAAAGACATCGTGGACGCGCTCGGGGAAAGGATATTTAGCTTGGAAGGTGAGTGATGCTGTGCCCTGACACATCCCAGCTGGGTGGCACTGGATGGTCTTCAATGTCCTTTCCAACCCCAACTGTTCTGCAATTCTCTGATTCCATGATGCCCCTCAGGTGCTTTGGGATGGCTCTACCCAGCGCATGAAACCCCCCTGAGTCTTGCTTTCTTATTTCAAACCTAGGTCTTGGGTTATTATAACAGAAGAGGAATCAATCCCGAAGCCTTTTTGAACGAGATAAAATTTATAGCGAGTGACCCAGATGACAAGCATTTCTTTAACGTCACCGATGAAGCAGCTCTCAAAGACATCGTGGACGCGCTCGGGGAAAGGATATTTAGCTTGGAAGGTGAGTGATGCTGTGCCCTGACACATCCCAGCTGGCCAGGCTTTGGTGATTGCTTCAGATGTGCCATTGGTCCTCAATCTGGTGAATTTGAACAGATCACTGTGGAGGTTTCCCTAATACCTCCTTGATACAGAACCTAAAATCACACTTTGAATATCTCCATATATAAAGAATAGTCTTTATTTTGAGTGATTTCCATCCCTCAAGCATCAGGAGTGCAGATGCCCTCTCCTCAAAAGGTGACCCCTCATCCTTGCTACTATTAATTGCAGAGCTCTGGTGGCCCTGCCATTTACAGCAAACCTCTGAAATCTGGCAAGGGGGGGGGCATCTGGGTGTCAGTATCTTTCTCACCCATCAAATTCCACCCAAACCCAGCCGGGCTATAAACAGGCAAAAAACCACACACCGTTTGCCAGGGACTCCCTGGAATCTCAGGAATCGAGGGTTACAGGAGCAATGTGAGGGCTTTTTTTGGTTTATTGGCTGAAATTAAATATCAAGAAATATTTTTGTTCAAAATGACACCGCTTCTGTCTGCCTTGTGACAAGTTTGTCGGTCTCCAAAGCTAAATTTATCTAAATTTCATAGGCAAAGTGCACATCCTGGGATGAATAATTGAAAGAGAAGATGGACAGCTTTCACTGGAAATTAAACATCTTGGGATTTGGGGGAATTTTGGGCAAACCAGCTCACAAACTCCCCACCAGTTTGCCAGTTATCTCAGTCCAGCCCAGCCCAATGCTTCTCAGTGGAAGAAAGCTTCCCTGGGTGAGAAGCTTCACGCAGTTGCAATTATGAAGTGAAATCCTCTAAATCCATATTTTTGTGTGTCCTTGTAGCTCGGAAAGGAGAGATCCGCACCAAGGCAGAGCTCCCAGTACCTATTAGTGGTACAAATTTGTGTAATTGTGGTGATTTAGGGAGAAACAAGAACATTTAGGGCAACTGATGTCCTTTGTGCCCCAGGTGGGGTGGAGGTGGACACTCAGCCCCCTCCAGGAAGGCAAACCTCTCCATTAAATACAAATTCCATTTTTTTTTTTTTTAAGGAACCAACAAGAATGAAATCTCCTTTGGACTGGAAATGTCCCAGACTGGATTTTCATCACATGTTGTGGAAGTAAGAGAGTAAATGTGGGGTTCTTTTTTCACTTTTTATCATCGCTGGCAGCTGCGGGGTGGGGGGGAGACGGGTACTTTGGGCAAGTTATTAATCATGAAGCTAAATTGGTCGCAGGAGAATAAAGAAGAAAATGCTGTTGCTGGGGGTTTATCCCATGGGGAAGGGAGCTGCTGGGAGACCTGAAGGTGCTGGGGAGAAGGTGCTTGTGGGTGGTGGGATGCAGAGGATGCTCAGTCCCCTTCCACCCACGGGCTCTGCGGGCTGACAGGTCCGAGTGAAAAGCCAGGAGGAATTTCTGCTTGGGCTTTTCTTGGGTTATTGTACCGGAAAAGGAATCAATCCTGGGGAGGAAAAACACACTGGAAGTATATAAACGGGGTGGGAATGTCATTCCAGCATGTTTAAAAATCTCCATCTTTCCAGGTGTGCTTTGGAGAGTGGTTTGCTTGATTATCTTTCGTTAATTTATTTTTTTTTTCCTTTTGTGAGATTTCTCCCCTTTTCTGTAAAACGTGCAATTTCTGGGAGGGACCATTTTCTGGTTTCCTCTTTTGTTCTCTGCAGCCTCCAAGAAGTATATAGTGGAGGATTTGGGCTTTGAGGGACCCCCATGTGGGTTCTCAGGAACCAGCCCATCAGGTCCCCTCATCCATCTCAGCACGAGTCGCCTTTGCCCGTGTTGGGCAGTGGGGGGAAAAATTGCCTCCACTTGGTAAGACATACCCTCAAACCACTCCTGCTCTCCCACAGGACGGGATCTTGCTGGGGGCAGTGGGTGCCTACGACTGGAACGGAGCCGTCCTGAAGGAAACCAGCAGCGGGAAGATCATTCCCTTGAGGGAATCTTATCTCCAGGAGTTCCCGGAGGAGCTGAAAAATCACGGAGCCTATTTAGGTAAGAAAGACAAACCAGCCTCTCCTGCCAGGGCTGAATTCATGATTTTACGACTTAATAATAGGAAGCACAACATATTTCTCAAATGACTAATAGCAGCCAGCACTCCCAGCGTAGGTGGTACTGTGCTGGGCTGCTTGTGAGCTGCTGCTGGTGGGAGACCTGTGATGCCCCTTGCTCAGGGATGCCACGTACGTGAGCATCCTCACCTGGGAAGAGCCCGCTGTCGGCCACAGCATTCAGCCCAAAAGCAATTTAAATGCAGAAGTAGCTCAGACACCGGCCAGCCCGGGTCATCCACAGTGCTTACTGGAATGGGGTTTTTTTTTAAAAAAAAAAAGCTGATGAAATTCCATGCCTAGGGAGGAAATACCTGCTGGGTTAATCCGTTCCATGTGCGGCTGCTGAAGGTCTGGAGTAAAAATATCAGCCTGGTTTGGGAAATGAAGCCTCTCGTCAGAGACGTGCGTGCCAGGCTGAGCAGGGAGCGGGGTGGGATGCTGTGGGGTTGCCCACTGGTGAGTTCGGGGCTCCTTCCTCCACTGGGGACACAAACAGCCCCTGGACACGTGGCTCATCTCTTGGGGTGACAGCAGAGTGTCCCCCGCGCTCTCCTGTGAGCTCCTGGAGCAGGGATGGCTGTGGTTGTGCAAGGGGTACCCATGGCAGAATCCGGGAGCTCAGCTGGGATCTTTCTTTCCCATTATCTGGAGTGAAAAATCCGGAAATATTAAGGAAGCACCGGTGCATCCTGCTGCTGAGCAGCCCAGCTCACTCAGTGCCAGGACCTGGGCATTTCAAGGCTGATGCTTGGTTTAGGATTATCCCCCCCAGGAGGGGAATATTGAGGGAGAAAGAGACTCCGGGTAAGGCCAATGCCCAGGGGAAAGGAGTGCATAAATCCCAGTAATCCCTGGAGACACTTAAATTCAACTGGATGCGACCCCGAGAGTGAACTGATCCAGCTCCATGGTTGGCCATGCTTTGAGTTTCTAATAATTTAAGTAGCATGTAAAACTGACTGTGAACGTGCAGGAACCTGAAGCTGGGTTTAAAAAGTAGGATTTTTGCAGCCTCAGTGTTGCATTCCTACATAAACCCATCTGCAACCACGGGGCAGTGTCACAGCCCAGCATCCAACCCGTGGGGTCAGTGATCCTGGCGTGGAAAATAACCCTTCTTGGGGGGAAAAGAGGGATTTCTCAGGGTCATTTGCTCACACCGGGTTATTTCCATAAGGACTCAGGTCTTGATGGATTTGTGGCTTTTATTGGGCTCTGAATGTTAATGTCAAGCATCAGCAAAGCCTTTCACTCCTGGTTTGGGATACGGCATAGCTGGTGTCTCGACAAAGCAGTGCAGGCTCCCGGTGTGCACACACCTTGTTAGAGTTCAATGTGAGCCATGAAACAAAACACTTCTCAGGAGGGGAATTGGACTTGTGTTGATTAGAGAAGGATTTTTCATGGGGTTTGACAGCTGCGTTCAGCATTGCCAAAGCTCTGGGTGCAGCTGAGCAGCTCGGAATTGGACTTGTGTTGATTAGAGAAGGATTTTTCATGGGGTTTGCCAGCTGCTTTCAGCGTTGCCAAAGCAGCGTTGCTCAGCGTTGGTGCAGCTGAGCAGCTCAGGGTGTAGGTAGGATCTGAGCAGGCGGCTCAAAGCCCAGGGTCAAGGCGCTGGGTTTTATTTGAACAACTTTATCTTTGAAGAAAATCTGGGTTTTTAGCTTCCCGACCTGGGAGGCGGCCAGAGTTGTGTCAGCAGCTGGAGGGGGCCTAATGGAAAGCAGATTGTTGGGCAGGAGCAGGCGGGGAGCCGCTCACCCTGCGTCTGCCTCCACATCCAGGTTACACCGTCTCCTCCGTCATCTCCACCGAGCGCGAGAGGATTTACGTGGCGGGAGCCCCCAGGTTCAACCACACGGGGAAAGTCATCATTTTCAGCATGCACAATAACCGAAACCTCACCATCCACCAGGCGCTGAAGGGGGAGCAGGTAACGCCGGGGCCGCACGCTGCCCGAGATGCCACGTGGATCTTTTTTCCCCACCTCCCTAAATCCTCCCCCTTCAGTTTGCAAATCGTTCTGTTTAAACGGCTCAGCACCCACGGGCAGCTGGGGACATAGGAAGTTCCATCTCAACAACCTTCCAGTACCTGAAAGGAGCCTACAGGAAGGCTGGGGAGAATCTGTTTAGAAAGGCCTGCATTGACAGGACAAGGGGCAATGGCTTCAAGCTGGAGGGGAACAGATTTAGATTGGAGATCAGGAGGGGGTTCTTCACTGTGAGGGTGGTGGAGCACTGGAACAGGTTGCCCAGGGAGGTGGTTGAGGCCCCTTCCCTGGAGATATTCAAGGAGAGGCTCAATGAAGCCCTGGGCAACCTGGTCTAGTTGGGGGTGTCTCTGCTGACTGCGGGGAGGTCGGACTAGATGGCCTTTGGAGGTCCCTTCCAGCCTGGGCAATTCTATGATTCTATGAACACAAGGAGGAACTTCTTTCCTGTGAGGGTGGCAGAGCCCTGGCAGAGGCTGCCCAGAGAGGTGGTGGAGTCTCCTTCTCTGGAGACATTCAAACCCCACCTGGACACTTTCCTGTGGGACCTGCTCTGGGTGACCCTGCCCTGGCAGGGGGTTGGACTGGGTGGTCTCCAGAGGTCCCTTCCAACCCCATGTGATTCTGTGTCCTGGTTGTCGTTGCACCCACAGCTCTGAACCACGTGGAGGGAGAGGGGGGATCACTGCAGCAGGGATGGGGCTCGGAGAGTCCCCACCGAGGGGGTGGCAGTGGTTTATACAGCATATTCATAGGATCATAGAATGGTTAGAGCTGGAAGGGACCTTAAAGATCATCGAGTTCCAACCCCCCTGCCCTGGGCAGGGACACGTCCCACCAGACCAGGTTCCTCAAACCCCCATCCAGCCTGGTCTTGAACACCTCCAGGGAAGGGGCATCCACAGCTTCTCTGCATAACCAGTGCCCCTTGGATGTCTGGACCACTGCTCCCACCCCCTCCTCTGTCCCCTCCAGATCGGCTCCTACTACGGCAGCGAGATCAACTCCCTGGACGTCAACGGCGACGGCGTCACCGACGTTCTGCTGGTGGGAGCCCCCATGTACTTCAGCGAGGGCAGGGAGAGGGGGAAGGTCTACGTGTACACCCTGCGGGAGGTACGTGGCAGCACAGCGGGGTGAGCTGGGGAGGCCGTGGGGGCCAGGGTGCTAGTGGGGGAACTGTGTCCTCTCGTGTCACCTCCCCGGTGGTGGCTCCAGGCTTTGTGTACCCACCAGATCCCATAAAACATCACGGGGCACAGCAGCCCGGTCCAGAGCCTTGGTAGCACCTCACTGTTGTCACTGCTGTGAGATATGGGGAGGATTTGTCTGTTTTTCTTGTTTATAAACAATTGCAGGGGGGGTTGCTCATTGCCAGCAAAGAGCATCCAGCTTGTGCTGGAGCAGAGCCACCTCGTCTCAAGGCTTCTCTGCTCCTGGCCCTAAGGAGATGATGCACGGGGCGCATGGGGTCTTTGCAATGTCTTTCTGGAGAAACAGTCTCCATCCACTTTGTTTCCCCCAAAACCGTTCCCTCCAAGGGCACCCTCCTGCCCAGGGTCACGGGAAACAGCAAGGTCAGTCCCTCCAACATGGCTTCAGGGCACAGACAGGACACGTGCCACCCTTGTCCCCTTCTCTGGCACCCACCAGTGCTCTGGGGCAGGACCAGCTTTCCTGCCACCCTCAAAGCTGGCTAAAAATATATTTTCTGAGCCAAATCCATCAGGCTCTGGGGGTGTCCAGAGCAGCGAGCAGGTTGTGCTCTACATCCAAGGCTGCAGAGCCCACCTGGAGTGGTCCTCACATCTAAAGCACAACTTTTTATGCAATCATTTACATAAGCTGCTATAAAAGGAAGGCAAAGCAGGTGTGGGGCTGGGGAGGAGCTCATCCATCCCCAAGGACATGCTGAGTAGAAAGTCCCACAGCCCCAGGAGGACTCTCACCTCCTTCCTTAGAGAAACGGCTCACACATCCCTGCATCTTCTTTGCTTGCCTTTGAGGGTTTTCTCCTCTTGCCAGGCTTGCTGCTGATCATTTTGGGGGGGCTTTCTTTTTTTTTTTTTTGCCTTTTCTCTTTGGCTGGCCCTGCAGAACCGCTTTGTTTCCAGCGGTGCCCTTGTAGACCTGCAGAGCTACCAGAACTCCCGCTTTGGCTCCTGCATCGCTGCCGTCCCCGACCTCAACCAGGACTCCTACAACGACCTCGTCGTCGGGGCACCTTTGGAGGACGAGCACCAGGGAGCAATATACATCTTCCTCGGCTTCAAAGAGACCATCCTGAAGAAGTACAAGCAGGTACAGCTCTCGGGTGCTTAGGTTGTCCTCATTTTTCATCAGAATAAATGTCATTTGTGCCCATTTTAAGGATGATAGAGCAGGATCAATTCACGTGCAGTACTGTGTTGTTAATTATTATGGCTGGATATTTTCTCTTGCGGGGGGTCTAAGACAAAGCAAACACAGGGTATGGAAAATATGCTTGAAATTAGGGGCAATGCTTAGAGCTCGGTGCAACAGATCATAGAATCATAGAATCGGTTGGTTCCAATCTAGGTTGGAAGAGACCTTTGGGATCATCGAGTCCAACCATCTCCCCTACTCTACAAAGTCCTCCCCTACACCATGTCCCTCAGTACCCCATCTAAATATCCCTTAAACGCATCCAGGGATGGTGACTCAACCACCTCCCTGGGCAGCTTATTCCAATGCCCGACCACTCTCTCTGTGAAAAATTCCTTCCTAATGTTCAGTCTAAACCTACCCTGTTGGAGCTTGAAGCTGTTCCCTCTTGTTCTCTCATTAATTACCTGGGAGAAGAGACCAGCACCCATCTCTCTAGTGTCCTTTCAAGTAGTTGTAGAGAGTGATGAGGTCTCCCCTCAGCCTCCTCTTCCTCATACTAAACAGTATGATATAACTAGATATAACAGTATGATATATCTCAGCCTCCTCTTCCTCACACTAAACAGTATGATATAATTAGATATAACAGTATGATATAGGACTAGAGATAAAATATTTCTCACACTTGTGAGAGACAGTAAACGTACAGAGTAAATCAGCAGAAATCTCTGGATGGTGTCTCCAAAGAGAAATTGCTGCCATTCCCTAGAACATCATGTTTGGTGCGTTCGCTTGGAAAGGGGTATCTTGGAGGTGGGAAACCCTCTCCTCAGGCAGGGATGCTCTGGCTGGAAACCATCCTGGATTCTCCCCTCTGCTTTCCAGCGGATAGCAGCCGCCGACCTCGCACCCGGCCTGATGTATTTTGGATGCAGCATCCACGGACAGCTGGACCTGAATGAAGATGGACTCGTGGACTTGGCCGTTGGCTCTCTGGGGAACGCCGTGCTGCTCTGGTTAGTTGTGTCTCCTTTGGCACTCTCCTCTGCCCGAGGCTCGTTGCAATAGGCTGTCATTTTGAGGGGGGAAAAGCTGATGATTTGACCCATCTTTCTATAAAAACAACTCCCTGTCCATGGGATTTCAATGCACTTGGACCCTAGGAGGACATCAGAGTTGGTTTTGCACTGAACATCATCATTAGTTCCCCAAGAATGTCAAACCAGCTGATTAATATGTGTTGATTTGCCTGGGCTCCCTCTGGTCTTATTTAATAAGAACAATTTAACATTTGCAAATACTGATTAACGTTTGGAAAGTCCCTTGAAGCTGTCAGGGTGGACAGTAGCCGTGCCCAGCAGAGATGGACCACCCTGAGGTCTGCCTTCAAAGTGCTACATGCACACAGGGGCCAAATCCTGCTCTCAGTGCTGAGCTACTTCATGGTTATAAGCTGGAGGCAAATATGTGCAAGACAGTTTATTCTTCAAACCCTACATAGATGAGCTAAGAGTAGATCTACACACCGTGGTAGCCTTTGGTCTTCCTCACCACCTCTTTGATGCTGGGAAAAAGGGTGAAAAGGGTGAATCTGGAGGCTTTTGGAGGCTGATGATGATGTCTGTGAGCATCCCCTGCCCCAGCACTTCTCCTGAGCCTTGCTCACCCCACAGGTCCCGCAGCGTGGTCCAGATCAACGCCAGCATCCGCTTCGAGCCCTCCAAAATCAACATCTTCACCAAGGACTGCAAGCGGAACGGGAAGGATGCCACCTGCATGTCGGCCTTCGTCTGCTTCACCGCCGTCTTCCTCTCGGCTCACTTCCAGACAGCCAGCCTGGGTAAGCTCACGCGACGAAAAACCCAATTCACGCCTCGTTTAGGTCTCCAGCCCCAAGGGAGCACCCAGCTTCTGCCAAGGGAAACCATCCAGGAGCTTGGCGAGCCTGGAGGAGAGCACGTTGCCATCTGCCACATCCCTTTTTACCCACAAATTTGTCCCTCTGCTGGCTGATGTAGCAGGGAGGGTGGCTCTGCCATCAAGCAGTGCCAAGAAACACTCCGAAAACTCAACCTCACCCATGTTGAACCTCTCCTCTCACCTACACCCTGGCACCAAGCTCTCCTGCAGCTTCCTTTGCTGAGGTGCATCTCATGGGGGTGTCACCACCGCCTGGCCGGGCAGCAGGACAGGAGAGGACGTGCCCGGGCCACGTCCCACAGAGCTCATCCATCCTTCCCGCTGCAGCGGAAGAGCGCAGCTGCCGACCAGATGTGCATGTTTCCCTAATATCCCGGGGAATCTCTGTGAAGTTATCGGGCCAGCTCTGCTTTTAAACCCTCGCCCGTTGCCGTGACCCCGAGCCTACCCGGTGGCTGCCCGGGACTCAGCCCATAGAGGCTCAGCCCCCTGCAACTGGGGGGAAATCGGGTCCCAAGCAAAGCCAAAGGAAAAGCTCCCAATCCCCTAGAGCAAGGATTTTGAGTTGTGCTATAAAACCCAGCGTTTTCCTCCCAACCGCTCTCATTACAGAGATTCCAGGACAAAAATCCGAGTGGGGTTCCCTTTATTTATTTACTTTTACACTTATCTCTACCCAGAAGAGCCACTCGGGGGGATGGTGTGTGCTGGGGCATCACATCTTGGCACATTTTGCTGTGGCAAAGCATCTGGGAGAGAGGAGTGTTCTGGGACACAAAACCTCCAGAACTGGTGCAGACCAGCATGTCCATACATGAGGCAAATAAGCGTATAATCTGCACAGACTTTATACAGTGTCTTTTCAATAATGCATTTTTAAAGTTCCTCATTTGACCTGGATAGTGGATGCTTTGCCCCAAGGAAATGTCTGTTAGAAACAGGCAATAACACCTGTAGCCCCGTTTTCCCAGTTTTGGCTTTAGCGTGCTCCCTGCTGCTCTCCTCCCATGAGAGGAGATCATCATGCCGTGGTGGCCTTTGGTCTGCCTCAGCACCTTCTTGATGTTGGGAAAAAGGGTGGAAAAAATGTGAAAAGTGTGGATCTGGGGGGCTTTTGGAGGCTGCTGCTGATGTTTGCAGGTGTCCTGTGCCCCAGCACATCTCCCCTGCTCGCCCCACAGTGGGGTGAGAGAATCATAGAACCATCTAGGTTGGAAGGGACCTTAAAGAACATCTAGTCCAACCATCAACCTAACTCTGACAAAAAAATAAATAAGAAATAAGCAAAAAAAAAATCACTAAACCATATTCTTGAGGACCAAAATAGGGATTTGGGTGCGCAAAAGCCCATTTTTGCCCCAGTGTGGCTACATGGTGAGCAGAGAAGAGCGGGGAGAAGCCCTGATGGTGCTGCTCTCACAGAATCATGGAATGATACGGGGTGGGAAGAGACCTGTGGAGATCACCCATCCTGACCCCTCTCTCCTCCCAGGGCTGCGGTACAATGCCACCATCGACGAGCGCAGGTACACACCGCGGGCTCACCTGGACGAGAGCGGGGAGCGACAGACACAGAAGGGGCTGGTGCTGCTCGCTGGGCAGGAGCACTGTGACAGGCTCCAGTTCCACGTCCTGGTGAGTACCAAGGAGGACAAGGCTGGGGTCTCCTCCTCTGCCAGTCCCCAGGGGAGAGACAGCCGCCCAAACAGAGATGCTCCCCGCCACGTGCAAAGTAACGATGCGCCGGGACGCGGTCGGAGGAGCCTCAATGGCTGGAAATGAGCCTCGTCCTCCAGCCCAAATCTCTTCTCACTGGGTTTGATGTGGTCAGGGATGGAGCTGCTGGCCACGGCAGCTGCCGGGTCCCCAAGCGCTGACTTCATCGTAGCCCTGGCTTGCACTGTCCATGAGCTGCTAGCCGTGCCCTCAGGGAGGGCGTGCACTCTTGGTGCCTGGGTCAAGCTGGTCCTCCTGCTCCAAAATCGGTGAAAACTCATTATTTTTGCATTTGGGAGCCAAACACCTCCATGCTGGTCCCCAGTGCTCTCACCCTCTGCACGCTTCCGACCATCAGGGTCCCCCTCTCCGGGTGCAGGAGCCAGTGAAACCCTCTGCCTTGCTTGCAGGGAACAGCTGATGCACAATCCTGGCCAAAATCAAACATTCCCAGTGAATGATGAGAATAATTGTGGAGGCCAGGGAAGGCCGAGTTGCCAGACTGGCCCAGCCCCAAGCCCTAGCCTGAACTGCCGTGAACTTCTGGGAAATTTGAGTCTGGAGATGGAGACGGAGCTTGTGATTTAGCCCAAGAAGCATCTCGCTTCAGAGCATCCAACTGCTCCCCGTGTGCCTGGGGCAAGGTGTGGAAGGAGCTCACAGAGCTGCAGGAAAGGTGCAGCTTCAATATCAGCCAGACAAGCCCCAGGTCAGGGTTCCAGGACAGCTCTGTGTCCCTGGGGAGCCTGGCTGGGGGCCAGTTGCCCTGGAGCACCCATCTTTTGGAGCCAGCATCTCCAGGGTGCAGCATTTCCCACACCATCAGATGGGTGTTGAGTAGCACCACTGAGCTCAGGTTGTCCCTGTCCCTAGATGAGGGATCGCTGGAGAGAAACCAAGTATGTGAGATTTCAAAGCTTTTATTCCATAAAATAACCACACGTGCCTGTAGCTCTGCCTTACCTTGCTCTCTGATGCTGCTCCTCCACGAGCAGGAGCCCTGTCCTTCTCAAAGGTGCTTTCTGTCCACTGCAGGACACAGCTGACTACGTGAAGCCGGTGACGTTCTCCATCGACTACGAGCTGGAGCACCCCGAGACTGGCCCCATGCTGGACGATAGCTGGCCCACCTCACTCAAGGTCTCGGTGGGTGGCAATACCCACCTCCCAGGGTGCCTTTTATGGGGCACTTGGTCAGCAGATTTATCGCCAACGCAAGATTTGCTTCTTTGTCTTCGGGCTGTCGTCCCTGATCCCTCCCGTGATGGCGATGTGTTTGCATCCGCTGCAGCCTGGGACCACCCCCCGTGTCCCTTCTCCTTGGAGTACAACCTGGGGGTCATGGGGTTCACTGAGCTGCTCTTCTCATCCCTCTCAGGTCCCTTTCTGGAACGGGTGCAATGAGGATGAGCACTGCGTCCCCGATCTGGTCCTGGATGCCAGAAGTGATGTGCCCAGTGCCATGTGAGTAGGTGGCTCAGAACATCCTCCCAACCATTATCACTGGGGGCTCCAAAAGCCACCCCCAACCCATGCTGACATCGTGGCTGGTCCTTCATCCAGCACCACCATGAGGTGCTCCTCAGCACCTCCGCCAGCAGCGGGTCTCTGAGGCTCTGCCTTCTCCCTGCCTGGAACGAATCAGTGGTTTTTCAGGGAATCCGCAAAACAACTAATATTTGATGCCATGGTGATGAGCCCCAGGGAGACAAATCAGAAAATAACAGGGGGGAATAAACACAAGGTTGGCATTACCCACTTGGCAATTACAGGCTTGACTCACACAGCAGAAATAATTATATGCTGCATCTGATCACTTAAAGAGCTTTAAAGGTTATCCAGGAGCACAGGAGTCTGAAGATCCACCTCCCATCGACGGCAGCGGCCCATGGACCCAGAGCTGCTCCCTGGGGATTACCTGCATCCCATAATCCAGCATTTATTGTAAAACACTGTAAAGTTCTTGGTCCTGAGGCTGCAACCCAGCACGTGACTGGTTCTGTCTGGGCTGTGCTGTGGGAGGTTGAAGTGAGCTGTAGGAGGGGATTATTTGAGGATTGTAGTGACTGGAGTCTTACAAATAATCATGGGCAGACACCAAGGGTCAGATCTCTAGTCCGGTTCCTCCTGAAGCCTGTGGAGCTTTCCCAACGGCATCAGTGGGCACCAGGTCATTCTCTGCAACAGCAGCAAATGTCAAGGTGATTTCTGCTGAGAAAACCACTTTTGAGGTTGTTTGTTGGAATAGAGCTATTCCTTCAAACCAGCTCCCTGGCTGCCCACCACAGGGCTCTGAAGGTGGCACTGTCCTACATTTTTCTTTCCTTTGTTATTTCATATGAAGGAAATAAATACCCAAACACCCACAGCTTCTCTGGCCAACCTGGGCCAGGCTCTCACCACCCTCACACCAAACAAGTTCTTCCCCACAGCTCAGCTCCATCTCCCCTCTTGCAGGGTCAAACCCTTCCCCCTCCTCCTAGGGCTCCCCTCCCTGATCCAGAGTCCCTCCCCATCTCTCCTGGAGCCCCTTGAGGGACTGGAAGGGGCTCTGAGGTCTCCCTGGAGCCTTCTCTTCTCCAGGCTGAACCCCCCCAACTCTCTCAGCGCCCCCTCCCAGCAGAGGGGCTCCACCCATGGGTCATCTCTGTGGCCTCCTCTGGCCCCGCTCCAACAGCTCCATGTCCTTCTGATGTTGGTGGCCCCAGATCTGGAGGCAGCACTTCTTGGGGGGATCTCCCCAGAGCAGAGCAGAGGGGTAGATCCTCCCCCCTTCGCCCTGTTGGCCATGCTGTTGGCTCATGTTGAACTTCTCATCGACCAGCATCCCCAAGACCTTCTCCTCAAGGCTGCTCTCATGATGATCCATGGGAGGAATTTGTGATTCCTCTTTCCGTAGCAGCACAACAGAGGAAGAGCAGGGATTTCCTTGCACTACCCTAAATTCCTGGGGTCAGGTCTTGGCGGGTGCTTGGCAGGGCTTCCCTGCAGTGCTGTCCTCCTCCCACAGGGACTTCTGCCGTCGGGCTCTGCGGAGGCCACCGCCGGACTGCTCGGCCTTCAGCCTCTCCTTCGACACCTCCGTCTTCGTCATCGAGAGCAGCAGGAGGAGGGTGGCCGTGGAGGCGACGCTGGAGAACCGAGGCGAAAATGCCTACAGCACGGTCCTCAACATCTCCTTCTCCAGAAACCTCCAGTTCGCCAGTTTAATCCCCAAGGTGAGGCTGCTGGGGGAGATCCGGAGCTTTCCAGAGGCGCTTCTAATCCCGGCCGGATGAGAAAGCTCTGTCCTAAACCAGAGCCCAAAAACGTCTCCATCCCTCATAAATCAGACATGTTTATTGGCTTAGTTTCTAAGCACTTACAGCCCTTTCTGCTCTTCATTTTGGAAATACAAAAGCGTTTGAATTTTAAGAGCCTGAAAGAAGGTCAAACGCAGATGAAATTATTTCCCTCTTTATTTTTCTACTCCAATATAGTTTAAAAATACTCACTGCACGTGGCCAAGTTCCCGTCAGGGGTGAATTTTTGCAGCTGAGATATAACTCCTGGAAGCACGGGCTGATGCCGGGAGCTCAGCATCCAGCCGGGAGATGCCCCTTCTCTGTGCCAGTCCCTTGGATGAGCCCGTCCCAGGCCATGGGTCCCCTCCCCAGGATTTCACCCCCCACCACTTGCTCGTCTCCGTGCGACTCCTCCCTCCCTTTTCCCAGCGAGATTTGGGAAATTTGCTGATGCTGCTGAGCCCTCCTCGCTCATCCCACCCCCCCCCC